AATTTCTAAATTTAAATTAACTTTGCCCAATTTTCCCATATAGTACCACATGATCAGCGTTAAAAACTGCCTCTCCTTCTGATATACAACGGGAGTTTTCGTTGGCATATATGTAAATAGGAAATGTATTCCACAACGGATAAGTTCATAGTTATAACCTAATAAAATGTACATTAAATTGTAATGCTAGAGACAAATAAAGTAGACATAAATATTTGCCTTAAAATTTATTTATGAAATATTTGAAGCCTACAAAATAACACAAAAGTCAAATAACCGCAGTTTGATAACAATATTACTAATAATAATGGCAAATAAGACAAATGTTCAAATGAATGTGTAAACACGAATGGCAATGTCAAAATTACCTTCTCTCGGAGCTTACTGCTTTCGCCGCTTGGTGCGCTTGCATCTTAAAAATTATCGCGGATAGCCACTGAATTAGCACCCCTCGCGCTTATCCTATAGCATTTCTAACGACGGCTAAATCAAATACTACGTATGTCTGTTTACACCCACTAAAGAAGCATAAGTATTATAAGTGCAATAGACAGAGATAGAAGATAGATCAACGTTCAGTGTAACTCAGTCTATAGACGATTATAAATCCTCTCAACACGTATAGAGAGCGGCACATCATTTTATATTTTATATACTTTATGGTAATAATATTTTTATATTGTGTCCGAGTCACTTTCTATAATTTCGACCGCGAAGTATACAGGTTGGTAGGCTTCTCTAACCCTATAACCCCGTAACCCCTTAACCTGAGATGTGTGAAGATGTATAACCACCAAAGTTCGTACTTTCTTGAATGTACAATCAGTGATCATGACTTTTTACAATCAAAATCATTGGTTATGGGGTTATGGTGCAATGAGATTATGAGTTTCTATGTTTTTCAATCATTGACCACTCAAGATGGTTTGAAATCTCAAATACTGTTTTCTAGACAAACTTCTCGATATTAGGGTCAAAGGACGAATCAGTCTGATTCTTATTCAGCGGGTCAGTACACTATAGCAGGGGTTGGCAAGTAATTTTAGGTGGGTTCTGAATACTTTTGAAAATTTTTAACGAGATCCAGAAAAAAAATTCATATTTCTTAGTAATTCTTTTATTTTAATTTGCACTCAAGTTTAATCTGCTTACTAACCATTAAGAACTCAAATCAGTCACAACATAAAAAAAATATTTTTCAAATAATTTATTTGAGTAATTTATACTTTCAAAACATTTTTGGCGGTCCAGTATTTTACCTTCCGTGGCCCGGATCGCTAGTTGCCAACCGCTGCACTATAGGATACACTGGTATACGGGAATGGGAACACCGATGGAAAAGTTTATAAATTGACCTTAAGACAAGTTCGACTAAATCTCAGTATTTTTACACAAGTGTACCATGTAGCTTCCCAATAAATTATTAATGTATCTCCTTTTTTCTTCAGGACAAATATCGAGCCAAATATCTGCAATGCAGATAAGTAAAACTGAATATGGTCAAGGTGATAGCCAATTGGTTCCAATAGAGTCAAAGATACCTATCATTCCTGGCACTAAGGGTAGACGAATTGTTGTAGAAACAAATCACTTATCTTTGAATTTAGGTAAATTGAAGTCAGCTATACATTACGATGTGAATTTGGTTCCTGATCTACCAAAGAATCTTCTTCGGAGTGTTGTTGAAGCATTTCGAAGGAAACATTATAGTAATCGTTATCCCGCCTTTGACGGCAGAAAAAATCTTTATAGTTCGAACCCATTGCCTTTTGGAGAATTTATTGAAGACGAAATTGTCATTCAGGATACAGAAGGCAGAGAAAAGAAATTTAAAGTTGAAATTAAATTTGCCAATAAAGTCGATTTGACACCTTTGCATGACCTACTAAAAAATAATGAAACCCCAAGAGAGGCACTGCAGGTTATCGACATTGTTTTACGAAGTGCCCCGGCACAAACCTGTATCCCTGTTGGTAGAAGTTTCTTTGTGAAGCCTAGAACAATAATAGATTTGGGAGAGGGCATGGAGATGTATAATGGTTTTTATCAATCTGCGATAAGAGGATGGAAACCATTTCTGAATGTAGATGTTGCCCATAAAGCTTTTCCTAAAAACAGTAATTTGCTTGATGTTTTACCAGAATTGTTCGACAGTTATTATCAGCCGTTCAAGAGGGAAGACCTTGCTAGACCATTATCTAGATATCAGTTAGAGACACTGGATAAGTTCATTAAAACTTTAAAGGTGTCTTATGAAATACCTGGTCATGCAGCATCACGAAGAGTATTCCGTGTTAATGGAATAGACACGGCTTCAAAGGACAAAACGTTCCCAATGGATAGTGGAGAGCAGATAACTATCGAAAAATATTTTGAAAGAGTTAAAAATTACCGATTGAGATATCCCCATTTGCCAACATTATGGGTGGGGGCCCGACAACGTGAGAACAAAATTCTCTTGCCTGTGGAGTTATGTACTCTGGAGGACGGCCAAGTTATAAGGAGAAAAATGACTGAGAATCAGACAAGTAAAATGATACGACATGCCGCAACCAGTACATCCGTACGAAAAGACAAAATTATGACTGCATTACATCAAGCTAATCATAATTCTGATCCAACTGTTAGAGAATTTGGCTTTTCTATTGGAAATCAATTCGAGACATTAGACGCTCGAGTTCTTAAACCACCGGCTTTAGAATATGCAAATAGAAAAACCGTGCAACCTAGCAAAGGTGTGTGGAGAGGGGAAAGCTTTTATGCAGGGGTAACTATTAATAGGTGGACTATAGCCTGCGTGGACAGAAGACCTCCAAGGCCAAATGATCTTTCAAATTTTGCAGAGCAGGTAAGTTATTACAGTTCGAGACATAACGCCTTGTACCAGAGTTTGTTTGGGTCCCCTCCTTTATTTTCATTTGAGTTGTTTACTAAATGTTCATAAGCGGTCAGTGGGCTTTTATTTTGTACCTGTAAATAAGTGATTCCCAGACTGTGTATAATATGTTATAATTTTTTTGCTTAAATGTGCAGAATAAAAAAAGTCTAATTTAAAATAAACATTCCTAATTTATTAATAGAAAACTTGTTGAGAACTGTTGGCTTTACTCTAACATTTACAATTAAGGTGTTGGCCAGTGTTACACAGAATTGTTAAACATCTTTTTGTATGAAATAGGAACAGAGTTAAATAAATAAGCATCTTTTTAAATGACATGTAAAAAACTTAAAAATATCTTCATAAAAATGTTTATGGATTCCCCTAGTTCTTACCATTCCTATTTTCATCAATAAACTGTCTACCTAAATACTGAGCTTTTTCTGAATTACAAAATCTGTACACCAAACTAAATATGTACAGCTGTTGTACAAACTTCTTTAAAATTCGTTACCTTCAATGAACCACCTATTGATATTTGTAATGACTGTTTTACATTGACAATTTATTGATGAATAAATTGACGAAGTTCTTCATGAATTAATTCACGAATTTATTGGTAAACAGTGTGGTTTTACACTGCTACAGACTTTGTCAAGTTTTTTGACGTATGAATCAGTTCTACCAATGAATCAAAGAAGCAACCATAACTGCTGCAGACTGTCAAGTTTTTTGACGTATGAATCAGTTCTACCAATGAATCAAAGAAGCAAATAAATTTTAAAAATGTCACCTTTCCACTCATAATTGTAGTGATACAATAGCGGTACCGTTCTGACACGTATTATGTAAATATTAGTTTTTGCAAGTAACAAATCAGAAAAAACAATGCAAAACTAGTACGACGCCACACAATTATTTACATGTTCCAATAACATAACCTCATTACTGATCTGCGGGTGGAAATCTGTTGGGTTGGTACTTCCGAACTTCACGAAGAAATTGACAAAAATTAGAATATGCTCTAATTCGTCAAGAACTTGATGAATAAATTCATGAAGTTATTTGACAGCAGATTTGGTGCATTACACTTGTCCAATTTCTTGATGAAGCGACTCCATGAATTAATTGATCAATACATTGTCAATGTAAAACAGCTATAACAAATGTTTACTAAATGTGCTGTATTATCTTGATTTTTGCTGTATTATAGTATAGTTCATTTGGAATATTTTTTGCACAGGAAATAAACTTTTAGCTTATCTACTATTACTATTCGTGTAAACCACAATATTTCATTGGGATACACCATAGCTCACTGAAAACATTTATTTAATTGGCTTCAAGATTATCTGGTATTTGTGTTCCTTCATTTAAATGCAGCTTGTATAAAATTGCAAACTAAAATCTCTGTGTCTCAGATTTTCAGGAATGCTGCTTCTAGTGGAATGAATATCACCTCACAAGCTGAAAAACCATTTGATCACATTGGCGGTTCCCAGAGTATTCACGATATAAGAAAGTATTTTCAAGTAAAGAGAGAAAAGAAATACGATGTTATTTTTATCATTGTACCCAATAGTGGACCCCAATATTCTTTTGTTAAAACAGCTGCAGAGATAAATGTTGGCTGTTTAACACAATGCATCAAAATTAGAACACTGGGTAAAATGAATCCACAAACTGCTATTAATATTCTTTTAAAAGTCAATAGTAAACTAAATGGAACCAACCACATTTTATTAAATCGACCACCAATTATGAGTAGACCATGTATGATAATGGGGGCAGATGTAACACATCCAGGTCCTGAAGCTAAAGATATCCCAAGTGTTGCTGCTGTGACGGCTTCTCATGACCCCAAGGCTTTCCAGTATAACATATGTTGGCGATTACAACCACCGAAAGTTGAAATTATAGAAGATTTGGAAGCCATTGCGAGAGAACAGTTACTTTATTTTTATACAAAAACGAGAGTTAAACCCGAGAGAATAGTATTTTTCAGAGATGGCGTTTCCGAAGGTCAGTTTGCTCAAGTCATGCATGCTGAGATTAGAGCTATAAGATCGGCTTGTAAAAAACTTCAAGCAGATGGATACGAACCATCCATCACTTTTCTAGTTGTGCAAAAACGTCACCATACCCGGCTCTTCCCCACAAATCCAAGAGATTCGGAGGATAGAAATATGAATGTGCCTGCTGGTAAGTAAATGTTTATTGATCAAATTTGTACTGCTTTACATTAACGCGTTCACTATAGTACAGGAAATATATGTCATCAAGACTTATAATTTTTAAATGGCCACTCTGTACTGATGGAAAATGATAACCTAACAGCGGTTTTACACAATCAAAAAATTGTGAATTACTTTATGAAGAAATTCATGAATTTATGTAATAGTCCAGCGGGCGAAGACTCAAAGCATCGTGATTGTGATTATTTTAAGTAAACCCCAAAATGATTGCATAAATCGGCTACAAATATGTTATACAACAAAGGAAAAAATATTGACAATTTTTGTCATAGAAAATGCTTTTTTATTTGTTTTTCTTCCATCTTGCTTCAATTTTTTTATTGTGAAAATAATTTTTCAATTTACAAATAAAGCTATCATTTTTCTTAAAATTGGCAGTTTTCTATAAATTAATTAATCTTCATGAAATTTTCGGACAATACTCGATTCGTGTTTAATAAGCTTGTTTAATCTGTAGGGAAAACCCGGGCAAAGCGAATACTCCGGGCAAAGTGAATACTCTCCACCAGTCTCAAATAATTAGCTTACCGATCGCCACGTTACCATAAAAACGTTTGTACGTCGGCGCAGAGTGTGTGGCAAATATATTAGTAAGTAGTCGTGTCACGCGGCGTTCAGAAGGCGACAATTTTTGTTTTTGCTTGAAAAATATTGATTTATCAAGGTTAGTATTTTGCTAATAACAAGAAAGTTATTTATTTATCAACTTTTGTTTTTGGGTGGTTATAATGTATCTTTATGAGGCTTTTTACATTGTGTAGAAAATGAAACCCAAAGCAGTAGTTTTTATGTGAAACGGGTTAACCTCAAAAGTGACCATATAGGGCAAAGTGGATACCGTATTCACTTTGCCCGGTGATCGTAAATTCTTTCATTATATATAACAGTCTGCTTATTTCACCTAAACCTGGGTGTTTCAAAACTCACTACAGTCCTTCGGAATTAAGACCTATATCTCAGCCAGCTAAACCAACAACAAGATAGAAGTCGGAAGAAAATAAAAAAATTCAAAGATATCTTATGCTTTTTCTGTGGTGAAATATACATTGAACAAGACGGAAAACCAATCGAAGATTGGATATGATATGTCATCAATGGTGTCATGAAGAGTGTTCAGCATTTGAAGGCAATGATTACATTTGTGATAATTGTATTGATTAGATTTTTGACAAAGAATGTTAATTTTTATTTTTTCGAAATGTTAATTATTACTTTATTAGTAACTTATGTTCCCAAAGATTTCTTTGTTGTTATCCACTTTGCCCTTATGTCGTATCCACTTTACCCGGGGGCTCGGGCAAAGTGGATATTTTGACATTTTTCCTAATTTGATTTATAGCAACTGTTTCAACCAGAATTAAGGAAAATTGTTAACTAATTTCGAAAGTTTAGTAAATAAAGACTAATCTCAGATAATTGTTTTAATTTTCTCTATTATACATTATCACCCATAATCATGGAAAGCTAAAGGTGTTCACTTTGCCCGGACTTCCCCTACTCATCCGAGTTGTTACTGAATTATTTACAAATTATATGTCATATTTACCGGGAACTTTGGAATTATGGTAAAATTTTTATATATCTTGCATCTTTACAAAACTTGATGGGTATATACTATAGGATTGCAAGACTCAAGTGCATTTTGCAAAATTCAATTTTTACTAATTTTGGCAAGTTTGAGACACATACTTCTATGCATATACCAAGCACTGCATGTCTTTTACATTGAATGAACTTGTTCCCAAAAAGAGGGGATAAAAAGTGTACATGTTGCACTCTGTCAACTTTGCGAAAATTTAGTGGATTATTTTAAATGAAATTTAATAACTGATGTACTATTAACAGAGCAAAATTACCAATTATTATTTTGTATATCTAATTATACAACTTGTTAATTGTAATTTATGAGAATGTTAGATAGTGAATGTAAAATAAAATGGGTACAATAAAACAGAATCCAAAAGAGAGTACAAGTGTGTTATTTATATAAAATAGTAAACATTTTTTGAAATTTAAAATCGATACATCTTCACAAAAATTCATATAAAAATACACATTATGTACAAATATACATAAAAACGAGTTATCTACCTTAACTAACACATATAAATAATAATAAAAATAAATCATATCAATCAATTTACCTAAGTGTTTCATGATTCACTGTACCAGATTCAATTTGATTTTCTAATATATGCTAAATATCAAGTCTTATTTTATTAAATATACAATGCAAACCTAGTCAAGATCTTAGAACACATTGAAGCAGTGCCGGTTTTAGATATAAATTGTCCCTAGGTATTATTTTTCAAATAAAATAGCTGATCCAGTTTGTGATCCAAATATAAGTAGGTACATTAAGTGTCGTTTCTTTATTTGAACATGATCACGTAAAAACCATGTTTGACCTTTCGCCGTATGTAGAAGATGTGGTATCATATATAGCGGGCTTTGTAACTTCACAGGTTATAAAAATAATTTCTTGTGACATTTACAAAAAATATATAAAGGGAAACTACTCGTCTCCTTTTAATATATAACAGTAAGAGTTCATCATGAAATACGAAGTCTCATGCATTAGCAAAATGTGGAATTTCTGGCTACTGATTGGACACGTAAAAATTTGCTTTAGCCAATTTCATCAATACATTACCCTTAATTAATAAAAATCCTCAATCAATAAAACCTTAAGTATCCATAGGGTGTAAAGATATACATTTTTACTTATAAACAAATTTTGTCTTCTTTTTTATTTTTTGCTAGATTCATCGCTTCATGCCAGTTTGTTCCTCTTTTCTTTAAGTCTTCTGCCACTACTTGGTTGATCCCATGTTTTTTATGGGTCTGCCTCGTTCCTTTCCATTTTTTTTGTTTGCCAAATCATTTTCAGCTGTCTTTCTATTCAAATTCATAACCTATCTTCGAAAATGACAATGACGTTAACCGACAAACCAACCAATGGGTAAATGAATCATAGCGCGTGCGTATAATATACAAAGTGCAACACCCCCACTTTTTGGCTTCAATTCCCTTTCAAATTGTTTTGTATATGTATAGAAGTATGAGGTTTGAGAACGTTTTATAATATGTTGTTATAGCATATGTGAACGAAAAACTTAGTTTTCAGTATGTAAATTTGATTTTTTTTTATTCTATGGATAGATGTTGATAGAGCTTTAAAAAGCATATAAAAACATATCATTAAGTTTTATTATTTTATCTTTCTAATAGTTGATTTAAAAAGGTAACAGCTAGCAATGCTGATAAGTGATGATACTACGTTAATGCTGTTTAAAACTAATTACAATTTGACTATTTATTTGATTAAAAATATATATATATATTTCAGCTCATTATTCTGGGAAACGCGTACTATAATGCCTAAAAGTTAACTTAAAGTTACATCTTGAGGCCTCAAAGTTGCTAAAATTTTTTTAATTAACTCGATTACATGTTAATTGATATTAATTATTTAAGGAATGTAGGATGTCATTATTAGATTTGTTTTCGACAAATATGGAAGTTTATAATACATGATATTTGTGCCACATATTGTCAAATTAGAAAATAAGTAAAAGCAGCGGTGAAAATGAAAAATTTTCAACCGACAAGTTTTTACAATTTATATTATAAATATCCGGTATAATAATAACACAGGCACACAAACCAAAAAAAGTGGTCTGTTCTATGTTATATTATGTTCTGACCTGCTAAACATAAGTCTGATACCAGTTTTGTGTCGCCAGCACATACTATTTTTGAAGAAATGCCCTCCAAATCTTCAGAAAATGAGTTATTTATGAATATGTTTAAAGATTAAAACTGCGTGGGATAACTCCCATATTTTCGGACTTGCTGAATACGAACTGGAAATGAGAGGGAGTATGATGAGGGAGACGATGATGGTGAAATGTATAATGATAATGAATATATACCGTGGGATAAAAAGAAACATCTGCAAGCATTTAATCAGAGTAAGTTAAATGATCTTACTTGCAACCTAGCATTACCGAAAGACAGAGGTAAATATTTAGCTATAGAATTTAAAAAAAAATCCTCCATCTGAAGGAACCCAATATTCTGTATATCGATCACGTGAAACAAGTTTTTGGAAATATTTTTCTTCAGATGAAAAGGGTATTAGTGTATTGTTCTAACATTAGAGGCCTAATAAACCAGTTAAACCACAACATTCATAAAGACGAGTGGAGGTTAGTCACTGACTTCTCAAAATGAAGCCTGAAGTTCCAATAACACACACGACAAAACTGAAGGAAAGCTGATAGTATGAAGTACGTCTTAGAAAAATGAAAATATTCAGAGCACAAGTGGCGAATTTGGGTAGATTTCAAAAAGTCCCCATTTTCTGTATTTATGGGACAATAGATATAGGATTATTTAACATTACTCAAGCACCTTTGCTAGATTCATCCAGCTTCTTCCAAAACACAAAACTAGGACTAATGAAAAAATTCATTAAGGCTTTGGGGAAAGAAGGTGAATGCTACAAATACTTGGAAAGCTTTTCGCGTAATCACAAAAGTTACAATTATCTAAATGATGAAGAATTTCAGAGAACTTGGTTGATGTTGATTACTTCCCATTGACTTAAACAGCAGCAAAAAGCAAAGTGAACGATTTCGCTAAGATTTGCAAGAAATAAAATAGGTATCAAGGTAAATGGGACGTGAATATGATGGCGGACTACTTTATAAATTTTCTTGAAAATTAACCAATGACATTAAAAATGTTTTATTGGGGTTTCCCCAGTAAAGGAAATATAAGTATGTAGTAAAGATGGTATTTTGAAAAGTAAGATAGATAGTAACGTAGTTGAAAGCATAAAATTGAGGAATGTTATGCATAAAAGAGCAGTTTTTACTACTACGATTGAACGTGATTGGAACAAAAAAAAAGAGTAATATTATAAAGAAATTATAAAAAATAAGAAAAATGTTGAATTATGGAAGTAGTTAAAGTAGTTACTATCTGGAAAAAACAAAATTTGTGACAGCATAAAATGTATATCAACCAGAAATCCAGGATAACAACGTTTATTTGATAAATTTGAAAATGTGTCAATGTTTAAATTAAAAAATACGATAAAGAATTTAAGCAATACTTTCGATTTGGAACTTATAATTTCGAAGGATAACATAAAAGATGCTTTTGAAGTAATTGGAGATCATTTCCTCGAAGTGGTAAATTTGTCAGAGTTGGAAGACTTTGAATATATTTCCGGTGCCAAAAGTTGCTAATTCGCAGGATTGTAAAGACTACAAACCAATAAACACAATAACAATATTTGAAAAAATATGAAAAGTAAAAGACCAGCTGGTGAATTATTTTGAACAGAATGAAGTGATTATGCAAAACAAATCGGGTTTTAGAAAGAATTACTCATGTGAATAGGCAATAATTAATGTTTGTGATGAATGGTTGAATGCTTTAAAGTAATAAGATTGTTATTGTTGTATTCCCAGGGTTCGTAGCGGCCGGGAAAACCGGGAATACTGAGAAAAGTCAGGGAATTTGTTATTCTTCATAAAAAACAGGGAATAGTCGGGGAATTTTAAAAATATTCATGAGTTGCGGAATTTGATGTTTGCAGCTGGAAATTTTGTGAAGGCCGGCCCTGGATTCTTGAAAGAGAAAACTATTTGTGGTTTTGAAACCTTTATATTAGGGTATAAAAAATATTATGGAGTCCAGTCAAGAAAATTTAAGTCGGGGAAAACCTGGTGAAGTCAGGGAATTCTTTATTACTTTTGAACTATGAACCCTGATTCCTGGACTTGAGAAGGGCATTTTAAGGAGGTTTATCTGATATGGAATTGACAAACAACTATTCATAAAAAAATTAATATAAGCTTATTAATATGAAGAAAATCCTCAAAAAAAAATTATGACTAGTTTGGATACCTAAGAGACGAGATATTAATAAAATAATTTTTCACAATTTAGTACAGTCTTATGAGAATACAGATTTTTTTGGTCTTTTCACTGAATTTGGATAAAGCAAATACTAGAGGTGTTTATGAATATAAAACAAAGATTAATTTTCAGGACTTTAAATATGGTATTTAAAAGATATAATAAAGAATTGTAATAATCATGTAAAATTTAAAATTATATTAAAGAAATATATTTTTGAGGCATTTTGGTAACTCATTTTAGAAATACCCTAATGTTTTGGGTATGTATGTGAGTTTTTTATGTGTGGTAGGTATCATGGGGCTAGAGGATGTATATACTTGAAAATTGTAAAATTTTATTAGTATTGGCTAAATAAAAATTATTATTATTAAAATAATGATAAATAAAAATAGAAATAAATAGATATCATATTCGTATTCAGAGAGTCCGAAATTATAGAGGTAGGGTTATGGAATCCAGTACATAGACCAGCTTCTCCTATGACGTTATAATCCTCGAGTAAATTTACAAATCCATTTTTTTTTTTGTAAGGATTTGGTATTCTAATTGGGAGTGTTGACACCATACTGGCTTCAGATTTGTGTTCAGTGGGTCCGAAAATATAAACAACAGTCTAATCCTAATCAAAAGAACAGATCACTTTTCTTGTGTGCCTATGTAATTACATAATTTGCAGTAAAACAATTTTTGATGTTAACAAAATTAAAAAATTCGCAGACATCGTGCTCAAGACTACTTATTGGTATGTAACCGTTTCTGTAAATTTTGCAGGTACTTGCGTTGACACTACAATTACTCACCCTTTTATGCAAGATTTCTACTTGGTTTCCCATGCAAGTATCCAAGGTGTAGCAAAACCCACAAAATATTGTACCCTGTGGGATGACAATAAAATGAGTAATGATGACATTGAGGAATTAAGTTATTACTTATGTCATATGTTCACCAGATGCAATCGTTCTGTGAGTTATCCGGCACCCACCTACTATGCGCATTTAGCGGCTGCTAGGGCAAAGGTTTATATTGAAAACGAAAGATTGAATATGGATCAATTGCAAAGAGAATTTGCCAGATTCCAAATACAGGATGTAATACGGAAAGATTTGCCTATGTTCTTTGTTTAAATATGAATAATAAATGCTGCTATAGAGATATTAAAGCATTTATTAATTAATATCACCTATTGTTTTTTGTTTTGTATTATTTGCTTTATGTATCCAGAATTTTAAGCCATTAATATGCTTATACACTATCATTAAAAATATAATAATAGCTTTTATGTTAATCTTGTATTCAACTTTTTATTATAATCAGTTTTTTTTTGAAGGTGTAATATAATATATTCATATTAGTGCTTTTTTCGAAGAGCCCTTTATTTTTATTTTTAATAAGGAATTAAATGCTTTTATTTAGTTGTTTGCACTGCTTAGGGTTATCCATTCCAGATGTAACAGTTTGTATTAACTAATAAAAATGTTAAAGGACCAAATTGTATTTTAATTCTTTTACTCTTACATTCCTTTACACCTACTTAAAAAACTCTTGTCCGTTACTACGGAGCATCTTCTATTTTCAAATTTTTAGAATAAACTCCAGACAAAAAACGAAATTTTAGCTGTAGCTTAATTTGATAATCCTCTAGTAACGGGAAAAAGATTGACTTTGTAAGTTACTCAGTGACATGCATACCATAAGGTTTTTCGAAGAAAATTGTGGTACGCCAGTGGTAAAAACATTTTTTAAATATTTTTTTATGATCCACTTCTTATTTTGAACAAAATTACCCTCTTGCGTTTCATTTCTAGCACTTCTGTCATTTTTCCGTAAAAAACTTTTCTAAATACCATTTTTTCCCACTGCTAACATAGAAAATGAAAATAACAAAAACATTATGAAGTATGCTTTGACTCTGCCACCGAAAATGGTCAAATAGACATTGAAAAAAAGACTTGCATTGAAAACAATATTAAAATATCACATTTTAACAATAATAAAAAATACTAATGACTTAGGAATTTAAAGAATTTATTGAGTAAGTAATAAACAACAAACAAGATTACAACTTCAATACATTTTTCAATGTGTTTTCTCATGGATTCTCGTACTCGTCCAAAAATACCAGGCACATCTCGAATTTGCTGACAGCCCATTTCAACTCTGACGAAGAGTCTGTACATCAGGAATGGTAACGAAATAAATTATGTTTTTTAAGAACAAGCAGGCCACTAAAGTCTTCCTATTTGCAATGCAACGAGCTGGAAAACGTTCAACATACAGACGTACAGCTAACACAGTATTCTCGTTGACAAGGCCATAAATAAAATGCATATCTGCTAATTCTGGAAATGAGTAGTCCATTTTTAACAGACCGATCCAAACCAAAATACAACCGTTTAAGGAAAGCATACTTCATAATGTTTTTGTTATTTTCATTTTCCTATGTTAGCAGTGGGAAAAAATGGTATATACAAAAGTTTTCTTTATGGAAAAATGAAAAGAGCTAGAAATAAAACGCAAGAGGGTAATTTTGTTTAAAATAAAAAGTGGATCATAAAAAATATTTTTACCAGTTGCGCACAATATTCGTCAAAAACCATGTGGTACAATGGTGGATTATCAAATTAAGCTACGGCTACAATTTCGTTCCATTATCTTCTAATGTTCGAAAGTTATTGCAGAAATACTAAATTTTTTGAAATTTTTTAGCGCCATGTAGCTTGGACAAGAAAACCCGTAGAGCATAACTTCATGAAAAAAATTTATTTTTTAAACTAAAAAATCCACCGTTTAATTTATTCTCAACCTTTACGTTACACCCTGTATATATGCATACGCATATACAAGGTGTTTCAAGATTAAGTTGACAAACTTTGAGGGCATTCCTTACATAAAAATAAGTCAAAAAATGCATATACTTCAACATAAGGCTGGAAGCGCTTCGTTTTTGAGATATGGGGTGTTAAGTATTCTAAAATAATAATATTTTTTAATATCTTGAAAGCGAGTATATATTTAAGTAAAACTTAGTGTGACTTAGATATTTTGTCGCAGTGTGTCTCAGTAATTAGTTTTACTAGCCATCAGTGGAGGAGATATGGGTAGGTGGTTCAATTAATTCGGCAAAAATGTATATGTAATATAGTATATGTATGTATTAAAAATGTATCTTTAGTTTTTCTTGTATTTGCTACTGTTTCACAGTAAATACAGATAGTTAAGTTCACCTCATAAACGTGTTAATCGCTATAGTTAAGGAAATATCCTAAATACGTTGCTGTTCATCTCATAAACTTAGACATTCATTATCATCAAATATGGTTGTTGTGACGTTGGATGCTTGTTTACAGTATTTAAACAGGAGAGTAGAGGAGATTATTTTGAATTAATTCTGAGTAAAACTACACTTGTAAGATCAAGTATTAATAATTTTGTATTCGTTAATATTTATTTATTCACATTTTTTACCGATTTATCGCTGGTACCACTTTTAAAAAACTGTTTGACACTTTTCTAAAGTTGTTTGAAGTGGACACCTTATTGTTATTCATTTAATTAATTAAATTTTGCATTTACACATTTAGGACTATAGCACGCTACAGTTTAGCGGCTACATTTTTAATTGATGCTCCACAGTTGAAAAATTGGTGATGGGATGTGTAGCGTGCCACAATCGAAGTTCTGTGAATGTGAACTCATCATAAGCATCATGCTCGGCATGAGTGTTCCTAGTGCATTTACAGGGATCAAGAACATAAAAAAAAGTTTAAGGAACGGCTTTCTAACCAGAACCTGAATTGTTCGAGCCAGTGTCCAATATTTGCCTATTCGTAGGGGTAAGAGTATACTGACGGCCATGTACATGGCAGTGTCACACATTCTAGAGGCACTTAACCAAAATAAAAAGCCAACAGGTCTGTGCCTTCACATTACTAAAGAAACTGGAACGTTACGGGATTAGGGGGATACCTTTACAGCTGTTAAAATCATATTTATCAGGAAGAAAGCAAAGAACAGTGGATTTTAATGAAAACAACCAGAGTTGAATCGGATTTGATCGGGATCAAAACGGGAGTGCCTCAAGGATCCATATTGGGTCCATTTTTACACAAATGAAAGCCAAAATTTAATAAATGATAGGTTAGTAATGTATGCTGATGATGCAACTATAATCTTTAAAGAAAGTAGTATTTTAGAAACGAGAAATAGAATAATTATTAGTACAATAGAACATCTTAATAATTGGTTTCTTAATTCAACCAATAATTTCAATCTTAATGATTGGTTTCGGATTGGATTACTGTTGAATCTGAAGAAGACTCAGCTGATACAATGGAATTGAAATCAAACGATAGACACACCACTTGAGGTAACATATGACAATGTGAAATTTACAGTGGATTCAGAGGTGTCTTTTCTGGGTTTGTCGTTAGACAGTCTACTGGACTGGGGGGGTACACATAGAACAATTCTCAAATCAATTGCACAATACAGCTATGCAATGAGAATACTGTCATTAAATGTTGATCAAAAAACAGCCTTAATCATGCATATGTACAATCAAAGATAAGTTTATGGCATTGTTATCTGGAAACTTGATACACGTAAATCGTATTCCATTAATGCAAGAGGTGTATGAGAAGTATCTTTGGGAATTGCAGGGAAAGCTGTAAGACATTATTTATCGAAAACAAAATCTTGACTGTAATCTGTATGTATATTCTAGAATCGATAATCTTTGTTAAGAACAATTTTCAGAATTATTTTGAGACCTCACTATTTGGATATGACTAGGTTCTCTTATACACAGAGAAATGCACCATATAATCCGAAATACCTATGGAATATTATTCCATAAAACATGAGAAATCTACCAATTGATAAATTGACTAATAGTTTTCCTCTTTTCTTGTTCGTTTTTCCGTATTCCAGTCTTCTTTCTTGCTTCTTGTTTATGCTATACACATGCTATAAGAGTGAATTTTTTGTGTTCCTGTATCTTTTGTTTTTTCAAATTTTTGTCTTGTATCTTGTCTTTTATTATTATGTAACATAAGTTTATTTCTGTATAGTATTAAATACGGCCTGCCCATATGTCTATGATCCTTTGTATGTTTCTTATATCATGGATATTGTATTTGACGAGCTCGACACCCTTTAGGGTAATGATTAAGTAAATAAATATACTACTACTACTATTCTGTTTCTGTAATACTATGTGTAATACTCTACACGATTCATTAATTTTATTAAGATTACTTGGAAGCAGCGATGGCGAAATGACTGATCATTTAAAATTCGCTAACTTATCAAAGAATGTGACATGTTCCTTTTAGTCATTTATTGGTCATTTTAAAAATTATATTGCTTTGGTATTTTCTGCTTTATTATACAGAGTGTATCACGAAGAGGGCCCAGTAGGATTATCTCGAGAAGTAGTCAAAATTGAAATCTGAAAATTTGTATACAGAGGTTTATCAAAAAGATCTATTCAATGAAAATAGTGTCCACTTTCTCGCACTTCCAGTTATATCAGAAGTCATCATCAACTCTGTTATTTCAAATGTATATTTTTACATTTTTTAATTCTACGGCAAATTCTAAACTATTTTCATATAAGGTACTATAGGCCAAAATGTGACAGTTTTCAAGTTATTATTTCCAAAAAAAATTGAGGGATGCAAGTGATTTTTGAAAACAGAATAACAGATATTTAGCTTTATGTATTAATGAAATTTGGCATGGATAATTTAAAAGCAATGGAAATTAACCAGTTTATGTCAAATTTGCAAAAATTCATACAGAGTGTTTAAAAACGTGTGGCCAATATTGTGACGTTAAAGTTGAATTTACTTAAATATTTCAAATGGTACACCCTGTATTGTATTACATTAATAGATACACAATTAAATTTACTTTAAAATAATACTATAGTTCCCCATACCCAAATAACAGTTCTTGTGTAAATTGGAAAAATCTACGGTGGTTTTGATGCATTAAGGAATTGAATAATAAACGGTATCTGATTGAACTGTAATTTTTATTATCGTTATATCTTCATCAAAAACAATAATTCAGTATATTAAATTAAAAAGAGCGATGCTTTAAATAAACCAACCATACTCGTAGATTTTTCTGTGTTGAAATCAATAATTTCCAATTTACACAAGAACTGTTAACTTTGGGTATAGGGAACTATAGCATCATTTTAAAGTAAATTTAATTCTGCATCCATTACTGTAATGTAATGTATACAGGGTGTACCATTTGAAATTTTTGAGTAAATTCAATTTCAACGTCACAATATGGCCACACTGTATGAATTTTTGCAAATTTGACATGTTGACTGGTTGAATTCCATTGCTTTTAAATTATCCATACTAAATTTCATTAATAAATAAAGCTAAATGTCGGAGTCGGAGTTATTCTATTTTCAAAAATCACATCCCTCAATTTTTTTCGAAAATTGATAATAACTTGAAAACTGTCACA